CGGCCATATAACAAGTAAGTGTAATTTTTACTTAAAAAAATTTAACAAATTGTCACATGAATCCGACCAGGTAGCAAGTAATATGAACAGTATTGATAATAATAAAATCTGTCTCTTATACACATCTAGATGTGTATAAGAGGTCAGTTCTTTTCTATTTAAATTAACAAAAATACAATTTACCGTTAAGACATATTTGAGCTTGTCAGATGAACCACCACCGGCTGGCCGCTTCTGCTGTCCAGTTTCTACCCATTTATAGACAATTTTATTATTTTTACACTCAAAGAAGTGCGATTAGTCTTATACAATATACAAAGTAATGTGTTCTTTGACAATTACCGATTATAGACATACGAATTCGCATATTCTTCCGTTCACACTTACGCAATAATGACTGCAGGGCAAAAATTTAGTGAAGATGTGTTACTTAATGCGAATAAAGAGCGCAAACAGTGTGGAACCGGAATAAACCGAAGTGCCCTGCTATGAAAAAAAAAAAAAGAAAGAGTCATGTAAAGAAGTAAACTATTGAACAATAGCAAATAAACAAACAAGCAAACAAATAAAAGTTGAGCAGCGCAAATTTGAAAACGCTTAGTTGATTGCGACAGAGGGCGATGTGATTGTGTGATTAGAATGGAATTGCGAGAAAAAGAGCATGGAACTCATATTTGCTTTCAGCTAAGCCTCTGCTAACTTGACACTATTTACATACAAACATTCATACATATATGTACACATTTATAGGGAGTGCGCACATATGTGCCATAGCACGGTGCTACGGTGCTGGTCCTTGTTTGTTTGGTGTCACAATGTCCTTTGATTTCCCAAGTGGAAGTGCGTTTATCTCCTGTGCTTTGCATTGCCCTGCGGCAAAGACCTTTCAAATGCACAGATGGTATGTATGTACATTTATGTACATTTATTTGCATATATTTGTGTGTGAGTTTGTGTAATTTTTGTACGGCCATATAACAAGTAAGTGTAAAGATGTGTATAAGAGACAGCTATATGTATGTATGTATGTGTAAGTATATTATT